AACTCATTGATGAATAATGAGCTCCCTAGCCTAGGTCCAGGGCCTTTATACTAAGGAAACAGGCCTAGAAATGGCTAAGGACTAGATCCTAGAGAAGAGAGGCCTAGAAATGGCTAAGGAATAAGACTATGCCATCTCTCTCTCTCTCTCTCTCTCTCTCTCTCTCTCTCTCTCTCTCTCTCTCTCTCTCTCTCTCTCTCTCTCTCTCTCTCTCTCTCTCGCTCTCTCACGAATGAGCCGGCGGATTTGGAGAGTGAACCTAACTCACTGATGAATAATGAGCTCCCTAGCCTAGGTCCAGGGCCTTTATACTAAGGAAACAGGCCTAGAAATGGCTAAGGACTAGATCCTAGAGAAGAGAGGCCTAGAAATGGCTAAGGACTAAGACTATGCCATCTCTCTCTCTCTCTCTCTCTCTCTCTCTCTCTCTCTCTCTCTCTCTCTCTCTCTCTCTCTCTCTCTCTCTCTCTCTCTCGCTCTCTCACGAATGAGCCGGTGGATTTGGAGAGTGAACCTAACTCACTGATGAATAATGAGCTCCCTAGCCTAGGTCCAGGGCCTTTATACTAAGGAAACAGGCCTAGAAATGGCTAAGGACTAGATCCTAGAGAAGAGAGGCCTTGAAATGGCTAAGGACTAAGACTATGCCATCTCTCTCTCTCTCTCTCTCTCTCTCTCTCTCTCTCTCTCTCTCTCTCTCTCTCTCTCTCTAATGGTCCGTATATTGATAGTGTTGGAAGGTACAGACATGCAAGATATGGAATGCGAGATCTAGCTACCCAAACAAACTGACAAGACCGGTCAGTCCCACAACTACCACGCCACCGCCCTTTCTAGAGCTCCAGAAATGGCTCAACTACTGCAAAGCAATTGTTGGTGCAACCCTACGGTTTGCACTCGGCTTGTTGTCCGTGTGCGTGCATGTGTGTGTGTGTATGGAATGGTATGAGGGCATGGGATAATATATATTTCATGCTTATAATTGTGTGTGAATGTTGAGTCATGATGTCGAGTGTGTGTGTCGAGTCAATAGCGAGTTATCGCTAGACGCGTGTTACGCGGCCGTTTGTGTCTCGCGCGCGGTTTCTATTTTGTCGTGCGCGGTTTCTATTTTGTCCTGTGTCGAACGTTCGGTGTGTCGCAGGTGTGTGTGCAGCAGACCCATCAAGAACTCAAGGATGAGTTTGTGATGAAGAGCCCGAGCCTTGGTGTCATGCGTCAAGTGATTTCGAAGCTCGCCAAAAGGGTACACCTCAAGATATTGAAGATAGTTACATTACTTTGTGTAGTGTAACATTTCACTTGGTGTAGGCCCTAGTGAAGGGTAGTTTCGAGACCCTTCGTGGTTGGGGACAGTGTGGCACTGTTCCACATCACTGTATCTCGGCTCTTGGGGTTTGTAGGAGCTGGGAGTCATTCCCAACTCGTGACCCTTGCTAACTCTTCCTATCTTGTGTTCTAAGACTATAGTGGCTGCCATAGTGCCGTTCGTTCAAACCGACGCTGTGTCGTCAATACTTGGTCGAATCGTGCGATCTAAATTGCCTATTGTAGGCGACATTAAGACGCGCCAGATCCAAGTTGAATCAGGTCATTTGAAGCCGTGACCAGAACGCTATGAACGTTTGAAGCCGCTGTGCAGAAATCCGGCTGTGCACTCTATCTTTCGTTTTAGGCACATTGGAGCCTACTGTGACTATAACAGCAATCCCCAAGGTGCAGCTCCTCCCCTATGCCTCCTACAGGTGGGTTTTCTGCCGCCGCTGCCTCGCCTAACTTTAGGAGGAGTCCCACAGATTGTGCTCTCTGTAAGGCCACCGACCACCGTTGCCTGAATTGGTGCAGAAACTTGGCGGCGTAGTAGGATTTTGAGTCGGCATTGAAGTGGCGCCGAGCCGCTGTGTCTGCTAGGAGCTTGAGGAAGACAGGTACCTCAGCGCAAGGACAGCCGTAGGTGTCGACCGCCAGGGGGAAGAAGCCAACTGTCTCGGGGCGGTTGGCGTAATGCTTGATTTTCTTGTCGGCCTGTTCCCGTGCCGCCCATCCCCTGCCCTTCTGTGCTTCCGGGTCCCTAGTGCTGATAGGGTCAGTGACGATAACGTCGCAGATGTAAACCGCCCCACTGCTATCGGTCATGGTGAAGTCGGCGGTTTGCTCCTCGATAGGGCAGTAGGCCGCTGACTCCCTGTGTACGATAAACCCTGCGTCCTGCGCCATGCTAACGCAAGCGTCTCGCAGCTCGTTGTGCGTGTTCGTGCGATGCTTGCCTGTGCCGCAGCGGAGCAGGTGGTTCGGGAGGCGGGGGTCAGTGATAGCCGTGTGTTCCGTGCAGTCACAGTTTTTGGGGGTGGAAAACGGTAGGCCAAGCCGGAAGCGTACAGCGTTGGAGAAGTGCACTGGCCCTATCCGCCTTGTGGGAGCGACGGGAATCGCTGTGAGCCAATCGCCTGTGCCGTAGCCAGTGAGTGAAAACATGTGCTGCGTGTGACCTGCAAGCGGATTCGGCTTCATGCGCCTCGTTGCCTGCACCTGCTTTGCGTATCTGCTACCGTGGACCTTGAGTCCTAGCACGTGTTGGAGCCGAATGTCCGAACGCTCAAGTCGCTCCTTCTCTAGTATCTCCCGCGCATCTAGCGGCAGCGCCTCCTCGCACTCAGTCAGCCATGTGTGTAGCGGTGTGTTGTCGACCCGCGGCAGTAGCATATGGTTCCGTGCCAGAGTGAGAGCATTATCCTCTTCCAGCGGTAGGCAGCTTAGATAGAGCGCCGCCTGGGTAAAACTGGCCGCGAAACCGTAAATCCCTTCAACTAGGGGGTCCGTGATGCCCAGCCCTCCTAACGATGGCGGCAGCGACGCCTGTTCCCAAACCCGTAATTGTTCGGTTCGACAAGTCGGAAATCTGATATCGCACGATGTGAGGAGCGTGGCAAGCAGATCCCTGCCCCAGTGGCTCCATCTATCACGGGGCAGGAGATGGAGTGGTGTCGTCCTGGTGAGGTATGCAACTCGTCGCGAAATGCATCGCGTGAGTAGCAGTGCTGCTACCTGTGGGTCTGCTCGCTCTAGCAGGGGTAGGGGTTTTGACATCTCGGCGAGTTGTCCCGCCAGGAACTGAGCGGCACCGCTATCTGGCCCCACGAAACTACCCAGTAACCGCACGCCGTCCTTAGTGAACGGCACTCCTGGCGGAAGGCAGGCTGCGTCGATTGTGCTTGAGCTCCAGGCAGCACACTTTTGAGGGTTATGCTCGAGGCCCAGGTGCGCCAACTTAGCCGTGAAGTATGTGAATGCAGCTACAGTGCGGGCTGTGTCACCCAGGAAGGTGACATCGTCCGCATATGCCAAGCACAGCACGTCAGGGTGTGCCTCGGCCGTTTCTCGAAGTGTGGCGTGTATCCCTGCTGCAAACAGTAGCGGCCCAAGTGGGTCTCCTTGGCGCACGCCGCGTTCACTTGTTAGTGGTGCGCTGTTGAAATTGGAGTCCAGTAGCAGTTGCGACGGGTTACCATATGTTAGTTTCACGAGCGGCAGCAGTGGCGAGAGAGTGGGTTCATGTAACGCGTCGGTGATGGCGGCCCGCGAAATGCTGTTGAACGCGTTTGAAATGTCAGCTTGCAGTACCAGGCTGTCCGGGCGGGCATCCGAAAAAGCCCTGGCTGCGTGGATCACTGCCTCTGCTCCACCCGGTACTGCCACTCCGTACTGTAGTGGTAGGAAAAATTCGCGGACTGGTTCTCCCATGATTAACAGGGCAGCCTTGGCTGCCAGCCTCGTTACGCATTCGCCAATTGCGATTGGCCTAGCCCCTCCCCCCGGCTTGGCGAGGGCTATGAGTTGCGACGCCGTCAGCAGGTTTGCAACCGAGCCTGGCAATTTTCCTCCCAGCATAGTGTTGACCAAGGCGTGCAGATGGGTGCTGACCATTCCGTTGGTGATCGCCGCGTCGCGCAGGTGCTCGAATGTCATCCCAGATGGTCTGGCTCCGACCCCATTCTCGCATCTTCCCAACATTTTTGCGAAGTCAGGGTGGGGGATTGACAGTTTTGACCCTTGTGGCTCGGGCCATGTCACCGCCTCGTTTGCTGCGGGTGGGTGCTTTTGGCGCAGCTCCTCCAATATTTCCGGGCTGGGTGTGCAGACGGGCGTTGACTCAAGGGCCAGCATGGCTCGGCGCAGACTGCCACGTTTCGCTAGGCTCTCTGCACGGCTGATGACACCAGTCGCATCCGGCTGGTGTCTTGGCGGGGGCGGTGTGTTGACTGCGTTCAACACGTCCTGGTACAATTGATCCCATTCGCCACGCTGGAAAGCTCGGAGACGACCCTTGACACTTGGCCAGTTCGGGCGTTGTGGCGAGGTCTGGCGAAGTGTCAGGCGCGGGAGAAACAGCAGCAGGCGCCAACCCGTCTCCGAATCAGGGTTACGTGATAGGTGGTGTAACGGTGTCAGTAGCGCAAGCGAGAAAAGGTGACATAGGTTTGGCGGTAAACGCCGCGACAGTGGAGGCTGACGACTGTCGCACAGTGCTGTGATATCCCAATTCGCAATGCCTGCGAACAGGTCTGTCCGCTTCGCGAGCTCGTCTGGTGAAAAGCAGCGGGGGAAAGATGCAGATGGGCGTGCTGTGGTACAGGCATTGGCGTTTCGGTTTCTCCCGGCGCGGCTCGATCTTATTGGTGGGCTTGAGGTTGGATTTGCGCCCGTCCGATCGACATCAGACGGTGGTTGAGCCATCTGTGGCACTTGCAAGTCCGTCTGCTGCACTACCTCTTCCCTTCTCCTTGGTCCTTCTCTCGCCATGCCATCCCCCTCCGTCTCCTCGTTCTCGCTCTCGGGAAGGGCTTCTTCCCTATAAGATGGGTCGTCCCGCTCGTCTTCGCCATTAGTTTCCTCCACGTTGTTTAAAGCCCTTCTCGCCGCCGCCTGATACCCATTCTCTGGTCCTCCGCCCGTTCCGCTTACGGTTTCTCTCCTCGCCCCACGGCTTCCCTGCTCTCGAGATGGTGATTGCCGGAGCACCTGGGCCGTCGCCAGAGCTCGCTGCCGCCTGGTCGGCTGTGGTCGCCAGGCCTCCGGCGGAGCTCGAAAGGGCGACCATGGCGACGAAGCCCCTTCTACCTCCGGCTCCGAAACACGTGACAGCAGTCTCTGAAAAGACTCCTCCCCACGCACCCGCGGCTCCCTTTGCCGGGGCAGAGGCTGGCCCGTCCGCTCCCGCTGCTGTTCCGTCTGCTCCGCCTGCGTCGCCAGGCCCCCTGGCTCCCCTTGTCGAGCCGTCGGCGTCTGCCCCTGCCGGGGGTGTTGCTGAACCCCCTGCACCTGTCCCTGGCGCCCTTGTTGCGCCGAACGCTTCTGCCCCCTGCCTGCCTGCGCAGGCCTCTGTTTTGCCACCAAAGGCGGCGTCAGCCACCACTGGCGAACCGGCTCCGTCGGTTGCTCCTGCGGCAGCGGGTCAGTCCGCTCCCGCTGTGACGGCGGTGGTTCCTGCAGGCCAGCCGTCACGCCCTCCGTCGCCTGACCGTCGCTCGTCGCGGTCCCATTCCCCCGCTCCCCATTAGGACCGCAAGTCATCTCGTCGCCGGCGTGAGTCTCCACGGTGGTACCAGCAACAGTCGCACTGGACTGCTCGCCCCGGGGGTCAAGGGGATTGGAGGGGTCCCCGTGCTCGTGGCGGGGGTGGGGGGTTTCGCCCGCCCGTGACGATGGCGGATCTTCAGCGGGAAGTGTCGAGGGCGGTTCGGGAGGAGAGGGCGGCGCAGAGCCAGAGCGGTTCGCTGCACGCCTTGCCGGCCCACGAGGCTTCCCGTCCGGCTGCGCTCCGCCCGAACCCGCAACCTGTTGCTGCGCCTCCCCCTCAGATCCAAGCGCTGCCAGCTCCTTCTCCCGCTGTATCGGCGCCTGCTCCCGGCTCTCGTCTCCATCTGCCACCGGTTCCGCCTGTTGCGGGAGTGGAGTTTGTGGCCGCGGGTGGCGGCTCGTTGGCGGCTCCGTTCGCTCTCCGTGCCGGTGCTGATGAGCCGCTCCAGTTCCTGGCAGAGGCACTCCAGCCTCCGCAGACCCGTGTTCCCGAGGCGACTCTCGGACAGCTACACCGCCTCGCTGACAGTCTCCACGCTCTGCTGCTGATTCAGGTGCTGGCCCACTCGTCTCTCCCTGTGATCCATCCTGAGACCTTCCGTGGCCGCCAGCGTGACTCGTGCCTGGACGCGGCGGACCAGCTCGCGGTGCTGCTGGCGCCCGTGCTGGCTGCGCCCGTGGAGGGTGGCGCTGCTGCTGCGGGACAGCTTGACGAAGCCGTCCGGGGCTTGAGGCGGCACTTGCGCGGAGGATCTGGAGCCGCGGCGATCGGCGCAAGCACGCTAGTGGTCCGGGAGCTGTGGCGCTCCCTGACGGGCATTCTTCACGCCCTTGGAGCTCACCGCATGTAGATGCGGGCTCCGATTGCCCCATGATTGATTTGCTTGTCTAGGTTGCCGTAGGAAGAGCCATGCTTGTAAGCCGTTGTTTATGAGCAACTGTGAGTATTCTCACTTGCCGTCCCCTCAAGCGCGGCCGAAGGCCGCGCTGTCGAGCGTCGGCCGCCGAAGGCGGCCGGCGCGAGCCGCTCGGTTAGGGGAGCAGAATGAACCCAGAACTGAATAATGAGGCTCTAGGACAAGGTCCTAGGGCCTTTATACTAGGCTGGAGAGGGCTGGAGAGGCTAAGGACTAGGCCTCTCTCTCTCTCTCTCTCTCTCTCTCTCTCTCTCTCTCTCTCTCTCTCTCTCTCTCTCTCTCTCTCTCTCTCTCTCTCTCTCTCTCGCTCCCTGAGCCGCTCGGTTAGGGGAGCAGAATGAACCCAGAACTGAATAATGAGGCTCTAGGACAAGGTCCTAGGGCCTTTATACTAGGCTGGAGAGGGCTGGAGAGGCTAAGGACTAGGCCTCTCTCTCTCTCTCTCTCTCTCTCTCTCTCTCTCTCTCTCTCTCTCTCTCTCTCTCTCTCTCGCTCCCTGAGCCGCTCGGTTAGGGGAGCAGAATGAACCCAGAACTGAATAATGAGGCTCTAGGACAAGGTCCTAGGGCCTTTATACTAGGCTGGAGAGGGCTGGAGAGGCTAAGGACTAGGCCTCTCTCTCTCTCTCTCTCTCTCTCTCTCTCTCTCTCTCTCTCTCTCTCTCTCTCTCTCTCTCTCTCTCTCTCTCTCTCTCTCTCTCTCTCTCTCTCTCTCTCTCTCTCTCTCTCTCTCTCTCTCGCTCCGGCGCGAGCCGCTCGGTTAGGGGAGCAGAATGAACCCAGAACTGAATAATGAGGCTCTAGGACAAGGTCCTAGGGCCTTTATACTAGGCTGGAGAGGGCTGGAGAGGCTAAGGACTAGGCCTCTCTCTCTCTCTCTCTCTCTCTCTCTCTCTCTCTCTCTCTCTCTCTCTCTCTCTCTCTCTCTCTCTCTCTCTCTCTCTCTCGCTCCGGCGCGAGCCGCTCGGTTAGGGGAGCAGAATGAACCCAGAACTGAATAATGAGGCTCTAGGACAAGGTCCTAGGGCCTTTATACTAGGCTGGAGAGGGCTGGAGAGGCTAAGGACTAGGCCTCTCTCTCTCTCTCTCTCTCTCTCTCTCTCTCTCTCTCTCTCTCTCTCTCTCTCTCTCTCTCTCTCTCTCTCTCTCTCTCTCTCTCTCTCTCTCTCTCTCTCGCTCCCTGAGCCGCTCGGTTAGGGGAGCAGAATGAACCCAGAACTGAATAATGAGGCTCTAGGACAAGGTCCTAGGGCCTTTATACTAGGCTGGAGAGGGCTGGAGAGGCTGAGGACTAGGCCTCTCTCTCTCTCTCTCTCTCTCTCTCTCTCTCTCTCTCTCTCTCTCTCTCTCTCTCTCTCTCTCTCTCTCTCTCTCTCGCTCCCTGAGCCGCTCGGTTAGGGGAGCAGAATGAACCCAGAACTGAATAATGAGGCTCTAGGACAAGGTCCTAGGGCCTTTATACTAGGCTGGAGAGGGCTGGAGAGGCTAAGGACTAGGCCTCTCTCTCTCTCTCTCTCTCTCTCTCTCTCTCTCTCTCTCTCTCTCTCTCTCTCTCTCTCTCTCTCTCTCTCTCTCTCTCTCTCTCTCTCTCGCTCCCTGAGCCGCTCGGTTAGGGGAGCAGAATGAACCCAGAACTGAATAATGAGGCTCTAGGACAAGGTCCTAGGGCCTTTATACTAGTCTGGAGAGGGCTGGAGAGGCTAAGGACTAGGCCTCTCTCTCTCCCTCTCTCTCTCTCTCTCTCTCTCTCTCTCTCTCTCTCTCTCTCTCTCTCTCTCTCTCTCTCGCTCTCTCACGAACGAGCCGGCGGATTTGGAGAGTGAACCTAACTCACTGATGAATAATGAGCTCCCTAGCCTAGGTCCAGGGCCTTTATACTAAGGAAACAGGCCTAGAAATGGCTAAGGACTAGATCCTAGAGAAGAGAGGCCTAGAAATGGCTAAGGACTAAGACTATGCCATCTCTCTCTCTCTCTCTCTCTCTCTCTCTCTCTCTCTCTCTCTCTCTCTCTTCTCTTTCTCTTCTCTCTCTCTCTCTCTCTCTCTCTCTCTCTTCTCTCTCTCTCTCTCTCTCTCTCTCTCTCTCTCTCTCTCTCTCTCTCTCTCTCTCTCTCTCTCTCTCTCTCTCTCTCTCTCTTTCTCTTTCACATTCTTTCCCTTGCTCTTTAGTTCATGGAGGCTGATGCTTGGGACCATGGACATGCTTTTCCACCGTGCTATATCTCGTTCTCTCTCACTCTTTCTCTCTCTCTCTAATGGTCCTTGTATTGATAGAGTAGCAAAGTACAAGCATGCAGGTGTTGAGATTCTAGAACAAAACAGAAACCACAACACAACACTTCCTACCCATTTCCTTCTCTAGAGCTCTAGGTAGGGCTCAACCACCGCAAAACAGTCCCCGGGGTGAAGCTCCTGACCAATGCCACCTACGGGCGGGTTCTCTGCTGCTGCCGCCTCGCCCAACTTGAGAAGGAGACCAACTGATTGGCCCTTCTGAAGGGCCACTGACCAGCGCTGCCGAAAAAGGTGCAGAAACTTGGCGGCGTAAAAGGATTTTGAGTCGGCGTTGAAATGCCGCCGAGCCGCGGTATCCGCGAGTAGTTTTAGGAAGACAGGGACTTCCGCGCATGGACAGCCATAGGTGTCTACCGCTAGTGGGAAAAAACCCACTGTCTCTGGCCGGTTGGCATAGTGCTTGATTTTCTTATCAGCCTGTTCCCGAGCAGCCCAGCCCCTGTCTTTCTCGGCCTCCCGGTCCCTCGTGCTGATAGGGTCAGTGACGGTGACGTCACACACGTAAACTGCCCCACTGCTTCTATCCGTCATGGTGAAATCTGCGGTTTGTTCCTCGATGGGGCAGAAAACAGCCGACTCGCTGTGAACGATGAAGCCTGCGTGCTGCGCCATGCTAATGCAAGCATCCCGCAGCTCATTGTGGGTATTAATGCGATGCTTGCCCGTGCCGCAGCGGAGGAGGTGGTTCGGGAGGCGAGGATCTGTGATGGCTGTCCGTTCTGCGCAGTCACAGTTCTTAGGCGTGGAAAAGGGGAGGCCCAGCCGAAACCGCACGGCGTTTGCGAAGTGCACAGGGCCGATTCGTGGCCACTGTTGTCACTGACCCTTCGTTTGAGTCCACCGCTGCGTCTGCTCTAGTTGCTGAGCTTGTTGACTTTGCTGCAGCCTGTCGCCTAGACTACGCCAGTAGTCTTGTTGCTGAGTCTGCGTCTGCGTCTGTCTGTCCTCCGTCCGTCGGGGGTGAGTGTGCTCTTAGCACGGACGTTCTTGAGGACAGACAGGAGGAGTTTGAGTGCTTTGCCGCTTCTGTACCTCATCTCGTGTCCATGCTGATTGCCCCTGAGGGAGACCCGGATGCACCAAACATCCCGACCCCACGCTCTTACGCAGAGGCGATAGAGGGTCCCTACTCCTCTCAGTGGCAGGCAGCCATGGACGCCGAGATGGCTTCCTGGAAGTCCACAGGCACCTACGTCGACGAGGTTCCCCCGCCTGGGGCGAACATCGTCAGTGGCATGTGGATCTTCAGGGTGAAGCGGCCGCCGGGTTCTCCGCCTGTCTTCAAGGCGCGTTACGTTGCACGTGGTTTCAGTGAGCGACAGGGAGTTGACTTCTTCCAGACCTTCTCCCCTACCCCGAAGATGACCACTCTTCGGGTACTGCTACACGTTGCCGCTCAGCGTGACTACGAGCTCCACTCGCTTGACTTCAGTACAGACTTCCTCCAGGGCAGCCTGCATGAGGAGATCTGGCTGCGCCGCCCACCAGGCTTCACTGGGTCGTTTCCTGTTGGTACCCAGTGGAGCCTCCGACGGCCAGTCTACGGTCTCCATCAGGCACCCCGTGAGTGGCATGACATTCTCAGGACGACCCTTGCTGCTCTTGGCTTTGCTCCTTCCACTTCTGACCCTTCTCTGTTTTTACGCACTGACACTACTCTGCCGCCGTTCTACGTTCTCGTGTGCGTAGATGACCTCGTCTTTGCTACTGCTGACACTGAGGCACTCGCCCACGTGAAGTCCGAGCTGCAGAAGAGACACACGTGCACAGACCTGGGTGAGCTGACAAGCTATCTTGGCTTGCGGATCACCCGGGACAGAGCACAGCGCACCATTACCTTGACTCAGTCACACATGGTGCAGCAGGTCCTTCAGCGCTTCGGCTTCACGTACTCCTCGCCACAGTCCACTGCTCTGCCTACCGGTCACTCGCTCTCAGCTCCACCTTCGGACGAGTCCGTAGAGCCGAGTGGCCCGTATCCAGAGCTTGTGGGCTGCCTCATGTACCTGATGACTTGCACACGACCTGACCTCGCATACCCTCTCAGCCTTGTGGCTCGCTACATGGCTCCCGGCAGGCACCGAAAGGTGCACTGGGATGCTGCGAAGAGGGTGTTGCGATACTTGTGCAGTACATCGGGCATGGGGCTCGTGCTTAGAGGACGGGCTCGAGTTGTCCTCACTGGTCACGCTGACGCCTCCTGGGTTGACGACTTGGCTACGCAGCGGTCGTCACAGGGTTACACCTTCAGTCTTGGCTCCGGTTCTGTCTCTTGGCGGTCTACCCGTTCTTCTTCTGTTCTCAGCTCCAGTTGTGAGGCTGAGATCTACGCTGGGGCCATGGCTGCACAGGAGCTACGCTGGCTCACCTACCTGCTGACCGACTTGGGAGAGGCGCCTCGTTCTCCTCCAGTTCTGTACGTCGACAATAAGGCCATGCTGGCCTTGTGTCAGGAGCACAGACTGGAGCAACGAAACGATGTCTCTAGAATCGCTCAGTAGGTACAGCTGTAAGTCATCGAGCCACGTATTGGACTGGATCGGATGGCCCTCAAGATCGAATGTGATAACGCTGAGAGTAGCCATAGTGGGCAGAGCAGGGTGGCGCGTGACGAGCAAGGCGGCGCGCGTGCACTAGGAAAACGCTCAGGGCAGGGCAGGGCGGCGCACGGCCAAGACAGGGCGGCGCGTAGAGCAGGGCAGGGCAGCGCGCGGGCAGGGCAGAGCGGCGCACGGGCAGGAAATGGCGGCGTGCGGCTAGCAGGGCGGCGCGCGGGCAGGCTGCAGGGCGGCGCGCGGGCAGGAACGGCGGCGCGCGGCGAGTAGGGCGGCGTGCGGGCAGGAAAGGGGCGGCGCGTGGCCAGCAGGGCGGCGCGTGGCCAGCAGGGCGGCGTGCGGGCTGCAAAGGGCGGTGCACGGGCTGCAAAGGACGGCGCGGCGGCCAGCAGGGCGGCGCGCGGGCAGGGAAGGGCGGCGCGGCAGCCAGCAGGGCGACACGCGGGCAGGGCAGGGCGGCGCGGCGGCCTGCAGGGCGGCGCGCGGGAAGGGCAGGATGGTGCGGCGGCCTGCAGGGCGGCGGGCGGGCAGGGCAGGGCAGTGCGCGGTCAGCAGGGAGGCACGAGGCCAGCAGGGCGGCGCGACGGGCAGGGCAGGGCAGTGCGAGCAGGGTAACGCGCTACAGGCTGGGAACTATTCGGTGGGCCCTAAAAAAACGGTTCTTGGAACAGGACCCGCTCTGAAACCATGTGAGAATACTGAACGAGAATGAATGCATTGACAGGAAACTGAGTACAAGTACTAACCCTAATTGGGTTGTACCCCTTATGGGCTACCCCACTACAACCTACACAATATAAACATTATAACAGTTTGACAACGGTCACACTTAATTCGACTGCGCCTTACAAGCCAGGGCAATATCAAGGCGTTAGTCGACTCTGGGATGTTTCAGAAACCCGATGACTTTTATGTTAGGGTTAGGGTTTACAAAGTTGGTTTCGTGGACGTACACGGAAAGTCTGCACTAAGTGTGACGACCTTCTGACAGCCGGCATTTATTTGGCATTCTCGTTTTGTGCGTATGTGGAAGAACCATCATATGATAAACGAGGCCCTATGATGTTGCTTCTTTACAAGCAACCACCTTCTCCTCGTCTACCTTTACTTAGCCCCTTGCCTGTTAGTGAAACCCTTTTACTCTCTCTCACGCTACTCACGTCACTCTAAGCCATGGTTCCTACCTTGGCTCCTAAGTTTCTCTTGTTAGAATCTGTGAACAGAAATGATGAATGACTAGCAACAGAGAGATACAAGTATGAAACCCTAACTGGGGTTGTACTCTATATTGAGCACCTCACTGTAGCCTAGCAGAACTAAGAACATAAAATATGTTTTGACACACCCCCCTAGGAAAAGTGAGGGATAGCCAACACAACAAAAGGTCACAAGACCAGTCAGGCAAGAGAACTAAGCAATGCAACGCCCACGGTAGATCTCAAGATCACCACTCATTCTGAGCACAAGCAAGTGGCCATATGGCCAGTTCACATGTAGAGTTATAATAGCAAGGCAGTACACTGATCACAACCTAACAAGAGGAAACATACTGGTATAAATATAGATATCAGTATACAAGTGCAAGATCAAGAGACAAGCAGGTGAGGCAGAACAGGCAGAAGCCCAAGAGCAGTGTAAAAACGCTAATGATCACCAGACCCAACAGCCTTGGTGAAAACATCAGCAGTGTTGGCCTGAGAGGCCACGTAAGCAAGACGAAGCTGGCCACGCTGCTGCAACTCTTGAGCAAGGAAGTAGCGAAGAGCAATGTGCTTCGTTATGTGCTCCAGTCTCTGCTCATGACACAAGCCAAGCATGGCCTTGTTGTCGACGTACAGAACTGGAGGAGAACGAGGCCGCTCCCCCAAGTCGGTCAGCAGGTAAGTCAGGCAGCGTAGCTCCTGTGCAACCATAGCCCAAGCGTAGATCTCGACCTCACATCTGGAACCAAGCACAGAAGAAGAACGAGTAGACCTCCACGAGACAGAACCAGAGCCAAGACTGAAGGTGTAACCCTGTGACGAACGCTGAGTCGCCTGGTCGTCGGCCCAAGAAGCGTCGGAGTGTCCTGTAAGTACCACAGAACACCGTCCTCCAAGCACGAGCCCCGTGCCCGATGTACTGCACAAGTAACGCAGTACCCTCTTTGCAGCATCCCAGTGCACCTTTCGGTGTCTACCGGGAGCCACGTAGCGAGCCAGGAGGCTGAGAGGGTACGCGAGGTCAGGTCGTGTGCACGTCATCAAGTACATGAGGCAACCCACAAGCTCTGGATACGGACCACTCGGCTCTACGGACTCGTCCAAAGGTGGAGCTGAGAGCAAGTGGCCAGGAGGGAGAGGAGTGGGTTGTGGCGAGGAGTATTGGAAGCCGAAGCGCTGAAGGACCTAGTGCACCATGTGTGACTGAGTCGGGGTGACGGTGCACCGTGCTCTGTCACGGGTGATCTGAAAGCCAAGATAGCTCCGTAGCTCACCTAGGTCAGTGCAGGTGTGTCTCTCCTGCAGCTCCGCCTTCACTAGGGCCAGCGCCTCAATGTCAGCAGTGGCTCTAAAAAACCATGTCAAAATACTGAACGAGAATGAATGCATTGAGCAGAAAATTGGTACAAGTACTAACCCTGATTAGGTTGTACCCCTTATGGCTACCCCACTACAGCCTACACAATATAAGCATTAAAACATTTTGACACATGCAAATGAGAAACACAAGATACCAAAGCACTACCACTTGCATGCCCTGCTCATGGGTAAGCCCCAGGTGGCATCACGCAGCACAACACACTAGCGCTCAGTTCCGCACAGCACAGCACAGCACAGCAGAGCACAGCAGAGCAGAGCAGAGCATGCACTACCGTATTGTAAGCTAAGGTGCCTGGCTCCCGCACGCTCTGCAAAAGGCTGCCCGGCAGCTTGCAATAAGGCTCCAGCAGGCAGATCCTGGATGGCTGAGAATGACCATGCGGGGCGCTTTGGAAGCACAGCAAGCAAGGCAACCTGCTACCCGCACACATGCATCAAGTCCAAGCCTTTCTGCATTTCCTGTGGCCGAGCAATGGTGGAGGGGTTAATGGTGCACGGCACGGCACAGCACGGCACGCAGCAGTGCACGACACCACACCATACAGCACGTGCTGCTGCTGCCTGCAGTGCTCGATTGATTTCATGATAGCGGAATGAAGGGCTCGTGCAGGTGTGTGAGTGGCAGCAGCAGCACCATACTCTGTGCGCACCACATAATGGCTCACTGCCGGCTTCAGACACGGCATTCTGAAAGTGGTGGGGAAATTGAGAAAGAGGCAGACCATGGTAGGTTACGCATGAGGGGCTGTCAGGTGGCGGGGGGAAGGTTGTGAAGGTTGTGACGAGTACAGAGAGACTGCTGTCGCTCTGAGTTTCCTGCACCATGCAACCACCTTGCTTAGGTTGCACTTGAGCTACTCTAAGTCGACATGCATCAGGGGGACAGCACGGCACTCGTGAGTGTGGAATTAAGCTGGGAATGAGTGCGTGCAGTCATAGGGCTCCAGCAACCACAGCACATGAGCAAACATAACTGCACCGTCCCTGGCAAATTGCATTATACAAGTATCATACACTATCCCACTCCACCTCACCTCCCCTCCCACTCTCCCATCCCCTCCCCCTACCCTTCATCTTCATTCCCCTCACCCTCCTCCCCCCCTTCCTCCCCAGCTAGAGCAGAAGAGGTACCCCCATAGCAATGGGTGGAGCATGGGGGTGGGAGAGTGCATGCATGCATGTGTAGGCACGTGGGACCATGTGCGGGCATGTGTGTGCGCAAGCAGCAAGTGCATATACGTGTGTGCATGTGTGCCTTTGCATGCATGTACATGCATGCACGTGCAGGCAATTGTTGACATGATGCTCTCTGTGTATGACACAGTGTAAATGTGTATGAGCAAATGCATATGCACAGGGATGCAAGTGGGACAAGTGCAATAAAGCAAGGAGCGCAGGTGCATACGTGCATGGACCTGTGTGCATGTGTGCATGGGCTGCGCTGCGCTACCATGATGCTTTGCTACCATGGTGCAGTGCAGGTTGTATGTCAGGAAGTGTGGGATGCTGCAGGCGTGCATGTTGAGAAACATGGTGGTAACACAGGTGCCCACTGTGACTGCAGTGACGTGCTTGTGGTTCATGGCGCGTGAGGAACGACACAGTGACATGTGCATGGAGCACAAACATGGCCGCAGCGAGCAGGCACAAGGCCGTACCTTGAAGCAATAGCACACAATGCTCCTCCAGCAACAGCAGCATCAGTTATAGTTGAAGTCCCCTCCTCGCCCCGCTCCCCCTCCTCGCCCTCCTCCTCTTCCTCCACCACCCCCACCATCCACAGCACCAGCAGCACCACCAGCGCCACCAGCACCGCCCATCATGCTGTCTCTGCTGCCACTGCCTGCACCCCCCTGCCCTGCTGCCATGTCCCCTCCCATCATCGCCCTACCGCCTTCCCTACCACCCATGGCAGCAGCATTTCCCCAGTTCTCACCCTCCCAATTCCCTTCATTCCACTCTCCACCCATACCTCCTCCAAAGTCCCCCCCTCCCATAAAACCCCCTCCACCCATATTTCCCCCTCCGCCCATGCTTCCCCCTCCGCCCATGTTTCCTCCTCTGCCCATGCTTCCCCCTCCGCCCATATTTCCCCCTCCGCCCATGATTCCCCCTCCACCCATATTTCCCCCTCCGCCTATGCTTCCCCCTCCGCCCATATTTCCCCCTCCACCCATACTTCCCCCTCCGCCCATATTTCCCCCTCCGCCCATGCTTCCCCCTCCGCCCATATTTCCCCCTCCGCCCATATTTCCCCCTCCGCCCATGCTTCCCCCTCCGCCCATATTTCCCCCTCCGCCCATGCTTCCCCCTCCGCCCATGTTCCCTCCTCCCATACTCCCTCCTCCCATATTGCACCCTCCCATATTGCCCCCTCCGCCCATATTCCCACCTCTGCCCATACCCCCTGCTCCACCCGAATTTCCCCCACCCATACTTCCCCCAACCATACCCCCAGGCCCTCCAGTTCCCCCCATATTCCCCCCCATGGCTCCCTCATCCCCCCCACCCATGCCAATGTACCCCCCATTCTCATCCATCCGCCCGCCCCTTCCCCCGCCTCTACCCATCATCCCTCCTCGCCCTCCACCCCCCAACCTCCCTCCTCTCCCCCCCGGCCCCATCATCCCCCCGCCACGTCCACCCCCACCTCCCCCCATCATCCCGCCTCCCCCACCACCTCCCCATTCACCTCCCCCCCACTCTCCACCACCCCATTCCCCGCCACCCCAGTCGCCTCCCCCTCCTCTACCGCCACCCACGAATCCCTCTGGTCCCGGGCCTTCATGCAGGAAGGTGCACCGGGGGCCATTCCGACACCCTGACGGCGTGTTGAAATACAGACACCGCCTCCGCCCCCTCCCTCCCCCTCCCCCTGGGCCTCCCCTTCCCCACCCTCCTCCGCCCCCCTGCTTGTCAAACTCCCCAAACGGGGGTCCCGGGGGGCCATCCCCAAAGCCTGGCCCACCAGGGGGTCCCCGGGGGAAAGGACCGCCCATGCCCCCTCCGCCCATGCCCCCTCCGCCCATGCCCCCTCCGCCCATTCCCCCTCCGCCCATGCCCCCTCCGCCCATGCCCCCTCCGCCCATTCCCCCTCCGCCCATTCCCCCTCCGCCCATTCCCCCTCCGCCCATTCCCCCTCCGCCCATTCCCCCTCCGCCCATTCCCCTCCGCCCATGCCCCCTCCGCCCATGCCCTCACCGCCCATGCCCCCTCCGCCCATGCCTCCTCCGCCCATGCCCCCTCCGCTCATTCCCCCCCCGCCCATGGTCCCCCCGCCCATGCCCCCTCCGCCCATGCCCCCTCCGCCCATTCCCCCTCCTCCCATGGCCCCTCCTCCCATCCCTCTCCCTCCCATCCCCCCTCCGCCCATTCCGCCCCCTCCCATTCCCCCTCCCCCCCTCCCCTCATGGAAAGGTGGGGGAACAGGGCCCCCCATGCCATTAAACGGTGCCCCGCCCCCCCAGCCTTGGGGCCCAGGGGGACCTGGAGGGCCATTGGGGGGGCCCAGGGGTCCTTGAGGCGGAATGGAGCCGTTCCCAGACAGAGAGGAGGGGGCGCCAGGGGAAGCAGCAGGCACATCCGCAGCCCCGGAGACGGAGCTGTTGGCGGGGCCGCTGGGAGCGCCGCTGGGGGGCCTATTTGAAGGGCCATTGGGAGAGCCACTGGATGGGCCATTGGATGGCGTGATGGCAGACATGTGACTCTGTGCTCCCTGGATCCCTCCAGCTTGCCCCGCTGCTCCTGCTGCCCCTGCTGTCCCTGCTGCGCCTGCCACTGCTGCTGACGAGCCTTGCATTCCCCCTGGCCCTTGCTGCAACAGCCCTTCAGCTGCGCCTGCTGCTGCTCCCGGTTCTGTACCCGCGCCCATGGGAGCCCCAACAGGCACCTTTTCAACCTTGGTCACCCACTGGAGAGACGGTTTCACCCCTGACCTATACATGCCCGATCCTGCTCCTGCTGCTCCTGCATCTGGGGTACCTCCTGCATCGCCTTTCTCCTTGTCCAAGCCAGCTCCTCGCTCAAATCTTTCTATCCGCCCTGCCTCAACATCACCACCACGCCCAGCAGCCTCTCTTGCTGACCCATCCCTGCCCCCTCCGCCTGCTCCTCCTCCTCCTGCTGCAGCCGCCGCCCCTCCCCCCTGCGCTGCTCCTCCCCTATCACCCCCATCTCCGTCGTTCCCCTCACCCACTCCTCCCGCTCGACCACCACCGCCGTCCCTGCCTTGCCACGCCCCATGGGGTCCACGCATGGCTCCATGGGAAGGGCTATCCGCAGTAGTCAGCGGATCGGATGGAGAAGGGCGCATGTGGGCAGCAGGGGGAAGCCCCCCCGGCCCACCAGGTCCGAATTTAGCCCCACCAGGCCCCATGCCATGCCCTGGACTCATGCCCGGCCCAGAACCCATGTTGCCACCTGGACCCATGTTGCCACCACCTGGGCCGATATTGGGACCAAATTCGGGGGGTATGTTAGGACCGAAGTTCGGGCCAGCATTCGGGCCAGGACCAGGCCCCATGCGGGGGGGCATATGGCGGGGCATAGGGCCCTTACCAGGCTCATTGAACGGGGGAAACGGGCCTTCGTCGGGGCCAAAGGGCGTGGGGGGCCCGTTCATAGGCCCGCGGGGAGGAGGGAGAGGAGGCCCGCCATGGAATGGTGGCGGGGGCCCATCCGGTCGACCCCTGGGCCCACCCATAAACCCCATTCCCCTCGGCCCTGGCGGACCCCTTCCCCCTCGTCCTCTGAATCCCCCCGGACCCCCTGGTCCCCCCGGTCTCCCTGGGCCCCCTGGTCCCCCGGGTCCAGGGAATGGGGGAGGGCCGGGAGGCATGCCGGCGGGTCCAGGAGGGCCCATGGGGAATGGCCCTGGGCCGGGCCCGTTGGGTGGGAAGGGTGGTCGGAAGGGCGGCCCGCCTGGCCCTGATGGTCTTCCGCCCACGCCACTTGGTCCGCCCGGACCAAACGGTCCCCCAGGGCCCCCAGGCCCCCCACGAATACTTGCAGGTCCCATGGGACCAACCTGCCCCATAGGTGGTCCCCCTCCTCCCCCTCCTCCTTCCGCTCCTACTCCCGCTCCTGCTCCTCCCCCTCCTCCTGCTGCTGCTGCAGCGCCCATGGGTCCGCCTGCGCCACCCATGGGCATGGGTCCAGGGGGGGTTGCAGGGCCGCCGGGCCGGGGAGGAGGGCCGCCGGGACCAGGCGGAGGGCCTGCATGCGGAGGAAACCCGCGAGGGGGTCCGGAATGCGGCCCTGGGGGTCGCATTGGAGGTCCGGCTTCTCCCATAGTAGCACCGCCAGCACCGCCAGCACCAGAACCGAAACCCGAGCTGAAGCCGTTTTCTCTTGGCATGGAGTCGGGATGGCCAAAGGCGTTGTCCCGCGGAGAGAAATCGTCCATTCCCTGGCCCATGCTATCCGTGGGAGGCGGTCGGAACGGCCCTGCGGTTTCTTTCGAACTCCCTTGCACTGAAACCCGTGTTCCTGGCCCTCCTGCGTCTCCTCCTCCTGCTGCTGCTGCCGCCGCTGCCGCCGCCGCTACTGCTGCCGCTGCTGCTCCTCCCTGTTCTGACCCGTTACGAGCTGCTGCAGCGCCCACTCCTGATGCACTCTGTGACGCTGTGAGCGCCGCAATGGTCTTGGCCAATAACTCCTCATCCACTGCCCCGGAATCCGACAGAGATGCCACAGCTGCTGCTGCTGCCGCTGCTATCTCAGCCGCTGGAACCCCCGTTCCTCCCCCCCTTTCCCCTCCTCCTCTTCCTCCTTCTCCTCCCCCTACCCCGCCCCGTCCCCCTCCTTTTCCTCCTCCCGTCCGTCCCTCACGACTCACACCACTCCCCAGGACCCGTGCAGACACACCTGATTCACCGCCCATTTCTCCTTTCATCACCCTCCCTCCCGCAGGCCCAGGCGAACCTGCAAACCCAGCATTCCCCATGCCGTTGCGCGCACTCTCCATGCCTCTGCCGCCGCCGCCGCCGCCGCCATCACCCCCTCTAGGCACGTTCCAGGGAGGAGGACCCATGCCATTGCCCATGGGCCCCTCATGCTGCATGCCCGAAGGGGGTCCCCTCCACCCCATGCCACCACCAAGGTGAGGCATGGGCGGGCCATGCATAGGCGGCGGCCCATGCATAGGCGGGCCGTGCATAGGTGGGCCGTGCATAGGCGGGCCGTGCATAGGGGGCCCATGCATGGGAGGCCTTCCAGGGTGCATGGCAGGCGGGCTTGGCATCGCTCCTGCTCCCAGACCTGCCGGGGGTACTGCCGCTGGCGCGTGTGGGCCTGCTGTCATCATATCCGGTCTTCTGGGATACCCCGCCCCAGGACCTTGCCCTGGTAGCGCTCCTGCCATTTGCTCCCCTCCACCTCCCACGGCTCCTCCCCCTGCTGCTGCTCCCGCTACTCCTGCGCCTGCTGTGGCTTCCCCTGTTGCGGCTGCTGCGGCGGAGTCGGGCGGAGCAGCGGGGGAGGCGGAGGCGTCGGGGTCGTCAGCAGCGTCGTCGTCTAGTGAGACGAGCGGGATGACGGGGATGCGACTGTCGTCCTGCACCGCCTCCAATGGATCCTGCGGCTCCGCTGGCCTGGGACGGGGAGAGAGGAGGCGTGGGGGGAGGGGAGAGGGGGAGAGGGGGTGGGAAGACAGAAGGGCGGGAGAATAGAAGACCGGAAGGGAGGACGGAGGCAGGAAGGGGAGAAAAGGGAGGGATGGGACAACAAATGGAGAGCAGGGGAAACGAAACAGAGAACGAGGACTGTTAGCACGAGCGGAAGGAGGGGGGAGAGAGAGGAAGCGAGACAGACAGAGCCCAGCAAAGTTCGGAGGTGCAGGACTGCTTGAACTCGAAGCAAGGTGAAGAGATGAACTTGTGCGTACGATTCAGGAATGGCAGAGGGTCGTGGATAGAAGGCCTCGAAGGAGCGCATCTCTCTCTGCTTCTGCACCTCCACCTGCGCGCTGTCCTCCCCTGCCACCACCTGCCACTCCGCCTCCAGCTCCACCTGCACACACTCACAGCCACCACCACAGCACGGAAAGGACATGCGTTGCTCAATGGCGCTCGCGCTCACTTTCTCTTGCAGCACAAAGCAGCACGAAACAGCAGGGCAGGACATGTGATGAAGGTGATCAAGTGAAAGGTCACTGCTTTCCACAGAGCCCTAGGAGCCCCCTCAGAGCTTTTCCAAGTGAGATACATGCGTGCCTTCAAGCCCATTCCGATCCAGGTGATTGCACTGGAGTGAACTTCCTCCCTGTGCTCTTCCCAAGCGTCAACTACCGATTAACATCACGCACACTCAAGGGTCCATCACCTTCCCTCCCAGAGGGGTGTGAGCTTGCAATGTTTAAAGCCCTTCATTCCAATCCACGGAAGCCCACATATAAGGTGGTTATCCCTGTCCGGTTCTCACAACGCTTTCGTGCAGTGGCTGCAACAGTTAGCCTGCTAAGAACTGTAAAACCACAAGAAAATCCCAGTCCTTCCCCCACCGTTCCCCCTCTTACACTCTTACTCTTACTTCCCCCCCTCTCTGCTTTCGTCCCTCTCCCTCCAACCCGTCATTCTTCCCTCCTTACCCTCCCTCTCCCACCAAATCACTCACTTTCTTCCCTTTCCTCAGCTATCTCACACACTCCCTCTACCCATTCTTCCGCACCCCCCTTCCCCTCCCCTCCCCCCTTCTCTTCTTTCCTCAATCCGCAACCGCCTCGTTCATACCCCCTTTCCAGGATTCCATTTCTTCCTCCTTCCTCTCACTGGCCCATCACCCCCGTCTCTTGTGGACGCCGCGCGGTGACACGAACGAGGCCATCCCACTTCCGATTCTACCCGTCGAGGGAAGAATAGTCGGGGCCAGCCAGGACACCAGCACACACCAGCACACACCAGCACACACCAGCACACACCAGGACACACAATGGCGTATGATAACGTGGGTCAAGGAAATCAGACCCTACTTTTTCAGGAGTCTTCCAAGGAGTTTGAGTCACCATCGCCGCCACTGCCGCGGAGTCGCACCGGACTTTCTTAGGTCGGCTAAAACCCGGAGGGCCGTCCATGGAAGATCGGAAACTAGTGGATGGAGCTGGGGGGGCACCCCCAAGGCCTGTGGATATGGCCATGCACGGGGCATCTTCTGTGTTGAACAGACGGACCTGGTCAAGACAGCGCGGAGAAACAACAACTTGCTTGCTACAACGCCGCGAAACACGGACAGATCTGGTTCGGAACACACAACTTAATATGTAACTCGAAGAACTACGAGAATTTGCAGAGAATTGGTATCTGAAAGGTATTTGGAAAATATATATACTACGCATCATGATTAAAAGTGACGGCAAACGGCGGATGCATCAATGCACGACGAGACAGTAATGTAGTAGATCTAGGAGATCAGAACAGATTATATGTATCAAGCATCCTTACGTTGTTTTCCGTGGAAGCAAGAAACGGGCAAGGAAACAAAATTTTCAAGCCCAAACTGTAAGACGAGCCTAGTTAGCAGTAATTGCACATTAAAGTTAACTAAATCGCTTTGTTCACGAGATCCGAGATTAGAAGGCCAGGATAGCATAGACAAACAATAACTCGCATAGAATACCCAAGAAACAACGCCAGGACGAAGACAAACCTCTCGAAGTCGATCATCTGATGCCCAAGTTACGCGCCTCACTCTAACACGCTTGGCAGGAGGGGGTTGTGCATAATTCGGATCAGTGAGCGTTGGCGGATTATGAAACGCTTGCGATGCGGACGAGACCATTGGGTTCGACATGTTTGTTCAATCTTCCCTCAAAGGCGTAAGTACAGTTTGCGAGACTCCTTTACTTGGACCTTTTCAGGTTAGTTAGATCCAGATCATGTCATCCTGGATAGTCAATCAGCAATTAGCTCGCGCAAAACGTAGATCCACCCAAGAACATCAACGAAGCCAAATGGGAACTGCACTTTTCGTTCACTAGTGGGTGGAGCTGTTGAATTGTCCTTCGAAACATACAAGCCTGGAACTAGGGTTGTTATATGAGGGGGAGGGAGCAATAGGAAACACAAGAGACTAGGAGGAGCCTTGGGAAGGGAGGAGGGTTTCACTCGTGATGAGAGGAACCCACTAGCGCTTCTGCAGAAACCCTCGGGTGTTGGCTTGGTTGGTTCCGTGTTGTTGGAGGTTGCTTGCCATGCCACACAGGGGTTTGCGCGGATTCCTGGGAATGCGGATGGATGTGCGGTTGTGGCATGCCTGTTGGGATGTGACTGTGCCGAGGGAATCTTGGGACATTCCAGAAGGACACCTCGGCTATTTCAAAGTTACAAGAGAGAATTGCTCCAGAGCCTTGTTTGGTGATTCGCTCTTGCCCACGTGTCCCCGAATTGCTCGCGTGGCCATCCAATTCAGTGATACTTGCTCGAGTGGCCATGCTAGGGCATTTTCAAGGTGTTTTTTTTCCCTGGCACATTACCCTACAAGGGTTCGTACCCCCGAAATTCCTCGTTCGCACAACAGTGGATGCGCGGTCATTTTCGGCCCAAAGCGAGACCTATGAGCGCATGGGCAAATACATCAGCGATCATAAACTGCAACGCCGGAGCATAAATCTACGAACATATTAGTGACCGCGCACGATTGGTCGATCATATGCTTCTTGCCCTTTTTGGCAATGTGCGTCCAATCACGCACTGTCATGTAATTCACGACCATATATTTAGGCGATAAAGTGTCTTTCAAAAACCAATATGAGCGCGCATATACTACCATTAGTTCTATCATATATCCAGTCCATATAAAACAATGTATATCAAATGCCATAAATATATTCTCTGCTATTAATTTAAGCCCAGCATGACCGTGGTCCATAATATTGTATTGCCGGTAATAGGGTTGCATAAATAATATGTTGGGCAGCATAATATCAATTTAAGCCCAACATAATATGCTGCAACCATATTACCGGCAATACAATATTATGGACCACGGTTATGTTGGGCTTAAATTAATAGCAGAGAATATATTTATGGCATTTGACATACATGGTTTTATATGGACCAGACATATGATAGAACTAATGGTAGTATATGCGTGCTCATATTGGTTGTAGGGCGACCCTTTATCGCCTTAATATATGGTCGTGAATTATATGACAGTGCGTGATTGGACGCGCATTGCCAAAAATGGCAACAAGCATATTATCAACCAATCGTGCGTGGTCACTAATATGTTCGTGCATTTATGCTCCGGCGTTGCGGTTTATGATCGCTGATGTATTTGCCCACGCGCTCATGTCAAACTTATATGCTATAGTCTGTCTAGGCTGTAGTGGGGTAGTTCATATAGGGTACAACACTTTTAGGTTTCCTACTTGTACCCACCTTCTTGCTAGTTCAGTCATTCCTTCCTTCATTATTATGACATGGTATTCTGAGCAGGTTCCCTCGTCGGAACGTTTTTTTTAGGGCCCACCACGATCACCTTTTTTTTCCTGCCCTGCCCGAAGCGCGCCTCGCACCTGCCTCACCTGCGTCGTCGCGCGCCCTGCCCTAGAGCCGCCCGTCGCGGCCCAGCCTTCTCGGCCCGTCGCGGCCCTGCCCTAACGGCCCGTCGCGGCCCCCTGCCTTCTCGGCCCGTCGCGGCCCTGCCCTGCCGCCATCCGCGGCCCTACCTTGCCGCCCGCCGCGACCTCTGCCCTGCCGCTGCTCGTCGCGGCCCTGCCCTAACGGCCCGTCGCGGCCCCCCCGCTGCCTTCTCGGCCCGTCGCGGCCCTGCCCTGCCGCCACCCGCGGCCCTGCCCTGCTGCCGCCCTGTCGCGGCCCTGCACTGCCGCCACCCTGTCGCGGCCCTGCCCTTCAGCCGCCCCAGTCGCGGCCCTGCTCTACCGCCGCCAAGTAGCGGCCCTGCCCTGCTGCCGCCCCAGTCGTGGCCCTGACCTAACCGCCAACTGCGGCCCTGCCCTGCACCCGCCCCGGGTAAGCACCCGCGCCGCCCAGCCGAGCCGTGCCGCTCCTCCGAGCCGCGCCGCCCTGCCGCGCCGCGCCGCCAGGAGCCGAGCCACGCCGCCCAGCCGAGCCGCGCCGCCCTACCGAGCCACGCCGCCCTACTGAGCCGCACTGCCCTGCCCGCGCTGCTACTGCTGCTTCTGCTGCCACTGCTGCTACTGTTGCTACTGCTGCTACTGCCGCTATGGCTAGCCCTACTGTTCTTACCTTTGATGCTGAGGGGCGTGCGGTTGACTTTGACGTGTGGGTTGACGACCTGCAGCTCTTTCTTCTGTGTGACTCTAAGGACGGAGAATCCCTTTTCGATCACACGTCTGGTGTCTCTCCTGCAGCTGCTGCCACTGCTGACAGTACGGTTCGCTCGCAGTGGACCACTCGTGACGCTGTTGCTCGCCTTGCTGTTCGTAGTCACCTGCCGTCTGCTGAGCGCGCGCACTTTGGACAGTACAAGACTGCTAAGTCTTTGTATGAAGCTGTCGTAGCACGCAACCTCCCCTGCCACTGCTGCCCTCAGCCGCCTCATGCTGCCGTACCTGTTCCCTAACCTTGCCGCCTTTGCCACAGTCGCTGACCTCATTACTCACCTCCGCACTAGTGACGCCCGCTACTGCACTGCGCTTCCCACTGAGTTCTGTGCCAAGAACCCCCCCCCCCCATATACATCACCCTTTACTACCTAGTCACCCGCCTCCCTGACTCCCTTGCGTCAGTCAGGGACCACTTTCTCTCCCTTTGCCCCACCGAGCTCACCGTCGATTTGCTAGAGGAGCGCCTCACTGCAGCTGAGAAGAGTATCGTTGCTGTAGGTGCTTCTCGCGGCGACCCTCGCGCCCCTTTCTTTGAGGGGTGTTTCCCTGTCCCCCTTCTCCCCTCTGTTGCTTCTTCTGCTGCTGTCGACCTCGTTCGCACTGAGGAGGTCGGGGCTGCGTCTGCTCCTAGTGGGAGGCGCCGCAACAGCAAGGGCAAGGGGGGCAAGGGTGGTGGAGGGGACGGTGGGGGCGGCAGTGGAGGCGGTGGAGGAGGCGGAGGGGGTGGCGGTGGAGGTGGGGGTGGTGGCGGGAGTGGGGGCTTCGGTGGCGGCAGTGGGGGTGGTGGAGGTAGCGGCAGCGCCGGTGGAGGCAGCGGCAGCGGTGGTGGAGGTGGCGGCGGCGGTGGTGCTGGTCGAGGTGGAGCCGCGCAGCGTGGAGGCTTTGGTGGTAGCCAGCGCCAGCAGCAGCCGCGTTCCCGTGAGACCCCGTCGGCCCAGCAGCTTCGTGAGTGGTACGCTGGGCGTGGGAGGTCTGGGGGTGTTGGTCCCTGCACTTACGTTCTTCGCACCGGCGGGCGCCGTGGGGAGACGTGCGGGCTGCCATACACTGCGCAGCGCTGCTTCGGTCGCCTGACTGACGCCTGGTGCGCCCAGTTTCCTGACGCTGTTGAGCTCCCTCGCTGGGGTGATCTGCTTAAGCAGAATGTTGCTATCTTTGATCTTGATTTCGATGCTATCCTTGCTGCCATGTATGCTGTGACTGATAGTGCTGAGGGTGACTGTTACCTGTGTGTTCCGCCCGGCCCGGGCATTGAGGCTGCTGCTCTAGGTGCTAGTGCATCTGCTGCTCCAGGTACTAGTGAGTCTGCTGCTCCAGGTACTAGTGAGTCTGCTGCTCCAGGGGCTGGTGAGTCTGCTCTCTCTGGTACTGCACCTACTGAGGCCTTGCACACTTTCACACTTGACTCTGGTGCTTCGCGCTCCTTCTTTCGTGACAGCACCACACTCACGCCGCTCAGTCGACCTGTCGCAGTCTCCCTGGCTGACCCCTCTGGGGGCCCAGTCCTTGCGCACTCTTCCACGGTTCTACCGTGTCCTGCGGCCCCGTCGGGCTTGCTGTCGGGACTCCACCTCCCCTCGTTCTCTACGAACTTGGTGAGTGGAGCTGACCTTCAGGACTTGTGGGCTGACCAGTTCACCCCTGGAGGTCAGCGTGTGACCCACTGCACTTGCTCTCGGACGGGCCGCCACCTGGCCATGTTCATCCGTCGGCCTGGGTCGAGTCTGTACACACTGACTACTGCGTCTCCTCCGGTTACTGCGTCTAGTCAGGTAGCCGCGTCTGGTCAGATGTTTGCTTCCGCGTCCAGGTCTAGTCCAGCGTCTGCCCCCTGCTCGTGTCGTCCTCTGTCACACGAG